CACATCCTCTGGCAAATTAATAAAAGGACTCAGGAAGAACTTAAAGAGAGACTTAGAGACCTAGGGAAAAATATCAAAACATCTAACATACATGGAATCAGAATCTTAGAAGGGAATTAGGAGAAGGAGAAAGTAGTTGAGACAGAGAGAGAGAAAAGGGTACAAACAAATATTTTAAAGAAATAGTAACTAAGTGTTACTCCATGGCACAGTGGTTAAGTGCAGTGCATTAGGAGCTAGATCCCATGTGGCTGGCCACAGTTCAAATCCCCACCAGACACACACGTGTGTGTGCCTCAAATCCTAATGGGATGGAGAAATGGAAGAAAAAGTATTGTGGCATGACCACACCCTGTTGGGGACTATGTTCTCTCTATCTCTGTCTCTCACGAATGCATATTCCTTCTGAGAATTTTAAAAATTGTGCATGTGTAATAATTATATATACATAATATGTGTATATATACATCCCATATATATGTGTATATATATGAAGTTGTGGCTGAAACACATGCAATTATAGATATGAAAAACTCAGCAAATACCGTGTAGGATATATATGAAGAAAATCACTCCTGAATATTAAACAGTTAAAATTCTAAAAACTAAAGATGAGTAGAAAGACCAAGAAAGCAGCCAAAGAAAAATGGCCTATCATATACAGGGGAGTGGCATTTTAAAGTGTTGATTTTTATCAGAAATTATAGAGACCACAAGCTAGTAGAACATTTACATAAGGCTGAAAGAAAGAAAATAAAACTCACAAACCCTGTAAGCACAAAATTTTATATGCAATGAATATAGCCTTTAATAATAAAAACAAAATAAAGACAAATATTTAAAAATAAACTAAGAGATTGATTTCTAGCAAAATAATACTGTTAAGAAGTACTAAATAGGGCCAGCAGGTGGCGTGGTTGTTAAGGCTCTGGACTCTCCCACATGGCTGAGTTCTGGACCTGGTGGCTTGCTTTCTCACTTTCTCTCTCTGGTCAAATTAAATAATAATAATGATAATGATAATACATTTTTTAAAAATATGAAATAAAGTTCTTCAGATGGAAAAAAAAATGACACTAGGCAAAACCTTAAAATTTTAGGATGAATAAAAAGCATTAGGAATGGCAAATGTCTGGGTAAATAAAGAGGGCTAATTGGTCTTTAAATTTTAAAGAAATACATTTGAGAAAAATTATAGCATTGTCTTAAGGGATTTATAAATGTTTTAAATAAAATTCATATAATAACTAGCTTAGTGGTGGGGAGAATAAATAGACCTGTTTAGTTGCAATGTTTCCACACATTGTGAGAAGTGATACAATATTAACTCTAAGTAGAGTATGAAGAGATAAGAATGTATATTGTAATCATAGAGCAACCTGTAAAGATAATATTAAAAAACTTAATTTAAACATCCAAGAGATAAATTAAATGTAATTTTAAAAATCAGTAATTCAAAGAATGGCAGGAAAAGAACAGAAGACAGGAAAGGAGAGGTGACAAATAGTAAATAGGTAATAAAATGATAGACATAAGTCCCACTACATCAAAAGTAGCATTATATGTTAATGGCTAGTACTCCAACTAAAAGGCATATATTGTAAGAATGAAAAGAAGCAAGGTTCAAGTATATATTATCTGTAAGAGATGCACTTTAAACATAAACACCCATAGTGAAAATAAGTGGATGAAAATAGAGATACCATATAAACAATAAGAGTAAGAAAACTGGAATAGCTATGATTTAGATCATGAAGACATCAAAACAGATTATTGCTGAAGGACATTTCTTATTGATAAAATGATCAGTTCATTAAGGGGACATAACAATGTAAATGTATATATATATATATGTATATACCTAATGCCAATGCTTCAAAATATAAAAAGCAGAGGTTGATGTAATTTTAAAAGAAGGCAATTATGCAATTATTCTAGGAGATTTTTAAAAAAGATTTTTACCATAGGGTATGTGTGTTTGCTGGAGAAAGACAGAGAGACAGTGAGAGGGAAAATGAGAAATCACCCACCCCCCACCCCCCACCCCCAGTCGGGATGGCCATGCTGTCATCCCTTCTTCTCCATTCCCCTCCTGGGATTTGAGTTTCAAGCTGCCAGATCCAAGACTCAAACCATGGTCAGCCAGGCGGTAATCCAGTGCTTTAAACACTACATCACCCACTGGTTCTATTCTAGAAAATTTTTAACATTCATTCCTCAGCAACTGATAAATTAAAAATTCAATAAAAATATAAATGATCTAAAGCTCATTGTTACTTATGGAGCATAACCCCCAACATTTGAACAGCAGACATTCTTTCCAAGTACAACATAGTACGTTTGTTAAGAGAGGCCATATATAATAGGCTATAAAAATTAAGCAACACTGGGACCAGCAGTTAGCGTAATGGCTATGTTGCTGGACTCCCATGTAGTCGACCACGGTTCAAGTCCTGGACCTGGTGGCTTAAACTCACGCCAGGCGTGTGTGCGTGCGTGCCCAAGATCCCGAGAGGAGAATGGGGGAGAAGGGATTGTGGTGTGGCCATCCCCCCTGGGGAGTGATTCTTAATCTCTTTCTGTCTCTCTGTCTTTCTGGTGAGTGCACACGCCCTATAGCAAAAACCTCTTAAAAAAAAAAATTAAGCAACATTTCTAAATAATCCATGGGTCACTATAGCAAAAACCTCTTTAAAAAAAATTAAGCAACATTTCTAAATAATCTATGGGTCAAAGAGAAAAGGAGAGAAATGATAAAATATTTTAAATCTGAATCCTGATTTTAACATTTCAGATATGTGTGACCTTGGGTTATGATCTGGATTGCTGAGTTTCAGTTTCTTAATAAAGTGGAGATATTACACCCTACCTCCCCAGTGTTGCTATAAAGCTTAAGTGAAACAACATATAAAGCACTTGATACAATTCCTGGTACAGTAAAAATACTTAATTTCATTGTCCATAACTATAAAATGTTACCGAAAGTATGCAAATCTACCTACAGGACCTCCTGTCACTTTCATCATTCTGTCTTTGAATTCTAGACAGAATAGGACCAAGTCACATCAGTCCCCTCCTTACATCCATTAATTAATAAACTTTCCTAACCCATGTGATTTAATTTTTATCTCCTTAGCATGTAACATTACGAACTGCCAGGAGATGTATGTAATCATGGAATACCATCATTTTAATATTTATCTTGAGTTGAGGGTGATGCTTCCATCTCTGTGCCTCCACACAGTCTGGCTTTCTGATTGTTCCTAGTGCAGTTATTGATTAGATGCCAGAAGCCTGTCTCCTAAAACTTGTAATTGAGAGTTAAAGTTCATCACACTGGCTTCACACTTTACAACAAGCAAAAAAAAAAAAAAAAAAATTGGAGGGGTTGGCAGGTGGACACGGGGGGAATGAACTCCCGCATGGCTGATCGCGGTTCAAGTCTCAGACCTGGCAGCTTGCTTTCTCACTTTCTCTCTTTCTCTATTTCTCTCATCAAATAATAATAATAATAACAAATAAATAAATATTTAAAAAAACATTTGGAATATGAGGAATCATTGTCCTCTTTTATTTTGCTTCTTATCTCATTGTACAAACTGAGCAATGATTTTTAATATTTCTGTTTCTTGAAGTATTTTTTTTAAAAAAACACATCTAGGTCCAGCCTGGATGGCACAGTCCTTAGCACAGGAAGCTGCAGTGTTGGAAGCCATGTGGCCAACTGGGGATTTGGATGCCTAGGGTGGCTTTAAACATGTCAGGTGAATGCATGGGCACCCCATGTCCTAAGGAACTGGGGAGCTGAGGAAAGGGGATTGTGGCTTGCTGTCAAAGGGGTGCTTTTTCTTTCTCTCATGTGTGCATACTTGCTGTCAGTCATAAAAAACAAACAGCAAAAAGCTCCACATGTAATAATTACCTCACAGGAATGGTGGTGTCTAATTAATTATTTTTTGTCAAAAGCTACAGGAGCTTTAGTTGGAAAAGAGACTGGGATTCATCCAGTATTATCTTGGAGAGCCCGGCCTCTTGCTTTATTGAATGGAGCTACTGTCTGTGTGTAATCAAATTAACCACACTGCTTGGGGCTTTTGCTGTAATTAATGAAACCCACGCAGACTGAATGAAGTGATCAGTCTATTATTTTTAGATTGAATAATTAAGTCTGAAGAGCTTCAGTGTATTTTCAAGTAGCTTCTTTTTCAAATGACTATTGACATTTTGATTCTCAATCTCACTTTATGGTGTCAATTAGTTTTTTGTTAATTTATCTCAAGTCATGCAAATTTCATTATAAGACAAAAATGTTCAGTTTCTACAAATTTATATTTTAAAGAATAAAACTGAGGGTTACCTTAAAAGAAAAAACAAAACTCAATGTAATACTAATTTAAGGTGAGTGACACACTTGTAGTGTGTGTGTGTATGTGTGTGCTTGTGTGGTGGTTATTTTTTGACAGTCTTGCTATGTTGCAATCCTTTTGCCTTAGTTTTCTGAGTAGTCAGGACCACAGGTGCATACAACCACTCCTGGCTCTTCTTACTGTGGTGCCCACACTGGCTGCAAGCTCAAAGATTCTCCTGCCTCAGCCTCCCAAGTAGTTGGGACTACAGATGTGCCTGGCATTTTAAAGTGGGTCAAGTCACAAACCCAGGGTCTCTGCGGCCTTTGCCTGCCCAGCAAAGGTGTTGGGGTGCATGCTACGTAGTTGGGCCAAAGGCCCACATTTTATTAAGGACCTGCTCTGTGCCAGGTACTGTGAGTATGGGTTCCCATTTAAATTGCCCCCAGCCACACGGTGAAGCTGGTGTAATTCCCATTTTATGGATGTGGAAAGGAGGTATAACTTACTGAAGGTCACAAGAGAACAAGGCAAGGGCTCGTATTTGAACTCAAGCCCCTGATTCCAAAACCCACATTCTTTTTGTGAGAGCCAGAGGGTACATCTATGCAGTGTGCAAACACGTGCGTTATTCAAAGCCGTGGTGACACATACCTTCAGCGTCTTGTTGTGTCTCTGCAGCTCCCGGCACAGGCTCTCCAGTTTGCTTCGGGCAAGAATAGCTCTACTGTGCTCGCTTTGTAACTGGTCCTTTTCTTTTTGGATTTGCACCTGTTTCTTTTGTAGGAGCTTTAACTTCTTTTGCTCAGTGCGATGTTCATCCAGCTAGACATGGGGGTACAAATGTGAAAGATAAATGTCAAGAGTCTCTTTACAGGTGATAGAAAAGGAGCAAAACCTAGGGATCACTCAGTGGTGGTGTGGAAGTATTGTTACTGTTATCTATCCCTCTGGAAGCAGATGAACTTCACAAATGTCAGCTTGGTGGTGCTTGTGGATATAGCTGTTAAAGTATAGCGGTTATACGTTTTTCATTTTATTAATTTTTCCTTCTCTTGATCTTTTTGTTGGTGGTTTAGAAATACTTTTCTAGAGTCTTTCTAACAATGACAGCCAATTAGAAAGGCAGGTCTTAGAATCTGCAAACTATCAGAATTCATAACAGTAGCCTGCATTGAGGCAGTGGTCAGCAGTTTGTTTGGGTTACATTTAGTCATTGTAATTCTTTCTTAAAACAAGCTTATAGCACTTTTATATGCTTTTAAAAATAGGAAAGAAGGGGGCTAGCAGGAAGCTAAGGTGCTGGACTCCCGTATGGTCAAGAGCAGTTCAAGTCTCAAACCCAGCAGCTTGAAAATCACACACGGCACATGTGTGTGTGTGCCCAAAATCCCAGGAGGAGAATGGAAGAGAAGGGATTACAGTGTGGTCATCCCCCCAGGAGGCATGATTTCTCACTTTCCCTCTCACTGTCTCTTTCTGTCTCTGGCAAGCACACATTCTCTATAGCAAAAACTTTTTAAAAAAATATTTATTATTTTTAAATTTTTGTTATTATTTTAAAATTTGCTATTGGATACATGAGCTCACCGTAGAGATACAGACTGAGAGAATTTACCATCCCAGAGAGGATGACCATTGCCATAGTCCCCTGCCTTTCATTCTCTTGGGATTGTGAGCACTCATGCACACACGCCCAGGCATGATTTTCAAATCACCAAGTTCAGGACTCGAACTGCAGTTGGCCTTATGGGAGTTCAGACCTTAACCACTGTGTCATCTGCTGCCCCCCTCCTTTTTTTTTTTTTTTTAGATTTTTCCAATAGATTTCATGAGCTTGCCAGAGAGAGGTAAAGTGAGAAATCACCTCTGGGGTGTGGAGATGGCCATGTGGCAATCCCTTTACCTCCATTCTCTTCTTGGGCTTCTGGGCATGCACAGATACGTGTCTGGTGTGACTCTCAAGCTGCCAGATCTGGGACTTGAACCACAGTTGATTATTTTGGTGTCTAGTGCCCCACCACCTGCTGGTCCCCCACCTGAAACTTTCTGAAGTCCCCTTGTATTTTTACTAAAAAAAAAAATTTGTTGTTTATCTGAAATGTAAACTTAACTGAGGACAGTGTATGTTTATTTGCTAAATCTTACAGTGTTGTTTTGGGTTCTATCAGTACTTCCAGTGGAGGGAGTGTAAAGCGAGCTTTCACAAGCCACGGTAGAGTAGCAGACTTTAGGATGGTCCACCTCCGACTGACTGCTAGTGTGGCCACATTCAAGTGGCTGCCCTCTGCCCAGAGACATTTCCTCTGCTAGACTCAGTTCTTAGTTCCTTGCTGCTTAAGCCAGGCAGGTACTAGTCCTGGGAAGGAAAAGCTCTGGGAAGTGAGCCCCGGGTGCATCTGGACCTCAGGTGCTCCTATACTTCGCGGATCCATGAAGGATACACATGCCACATGAGCCTGACATGTGTTTTAGTAAAAGCATTGGTGTTTCTAAGCAAGATGAATAAGGCTGTCACATTTTCTTCAGTTCACATCTTATGTTCCTTTTTTCCGCCCTCCCTCCTGCATATTGAGAAAACGATTATAAATCCTTGCCAGATGAAGCTAGGAATATTCACACTTGATAGTCTACCTTCATACTAGTGTGCAATTTCTTTCTATTGATAAGAATTAGCATTGGGGAGAACTAGACCCATGTTACCATAAGTATTGATTGAAACTGGAAAATCCTTCCTGGAAAATCAGTAGTATTTTATTATATGTTTCTCATGCTAAACTCTTGCTCATACAGACTTCTGTCCTCAGTAGGATAGATGTAGTTCTTTTATTTTGTACCATAGATATTTAATAAGAATGGAGTCTCTCATGTTTACATTTGAATTTCAGTGGTCTGTTGCTCTTAGACTTTATATTTTGTTATTATTGTTATTGCATTATGCTTTGGACTTTTATCTTTTGAAAATTAAAACATATGTCAGGGCTTCTCAACTTCAGCACTATGGCCATATCTGATGAGAGAATTCTTTGTTGTGGGAGCTGCCCTATTTATTATAGGCCATTTAGCAACACCCCTGGCCCTTCCTGGCACCCCTGGTCCTAGATGCCAGTAGTGCACCAATTTATAACATCTGAAAATATCTGCAGACAGAGTGCCAGACAGTGGTATAGCAGTAACATGTGATGCCCTGTGAGGCAATCCCAAATGGGAAGGTTCCTGGTTCAAGTCTGTAGACCTCCCTGAGTTCCCTGGCATGTGCTTGACCATGATCTGGGCTTGCTGAAGCTGAGGCTGGATTGTGGCATTGGAGCCTGTTGAGGATGTTCTCACTTTCTCCTTGGCTTCCTCTTCCTCTTTCTCTCTCTTTCACTCATGGAAGAAATTAGTAGATAAACATCTGGGACCTGTCCTATAGCCTAGTGAATAAGGGAGCAGGATCCCATATGACCAGATCCTGGCCCCAGGTGGCTTGTAAAACACAGTAGGGGTATGTGTGTTTGTGCCCCAGATCCCAACAAGATGAAAAAATGGAGAAGAAGGGATTGTGGTATAAACGTGCCCATGTGGAATGCTTTCTCCCCCTCTCTGTCTCTCTCTAGGGAGTATAATGCCCTCCAGTAATCAAACAAACAAAACACACACACACACACACACACACACACACACACACACACACAAAACAGTATCTGCAGACAGTCACTGCCTATTTATTGTCCCTTGGTGGGCAAAACTGCCTCTCTGTAGGGAACACTGCCTTATGTGACTATCTGAGTGTCAGGAGGAGGATACGCTGTACGTGTTACATAAAGTGGAAGGGAGATGACTCATGCTTGCTCATTTAATGTTTCAATACCAACCAAATTTAACATTTAACTATGTCTATCTTGCTCTGCTTTACAATAAAACTCCTGAACTTCCTGGTTTCTTTTCCTTAGCATGTAGATAATCTTTGTTTAAATACTTCAGATTTGTGTGAATGAATACAAATACATGGAGTTTCTTAATGAATGAATACAAACATATTGCAGCTGAATCAACTTCAGTCAAATACTGGCTTTGTAATTTAATAATGTACTTAAGCACTGCTCTTACATGTAATTATAACAAGCATGTAGAATTTTTATCAGCAATTTCTATTCTCTTTCTCTCTTTTTGCTCAGTTAAAAAAGTAAACTAATGCTAAGTAATGAGATAGAATCATATTAGTGAAGTTATTTTAACATAGTAACTGAGAGAATTTGCAAAAGGTGTTTCTCTCAAGTCATTTCTTAATTTAGTCATGAGGTATCCTCTTATGTTAATGAGTTCATCCTTATTTATGAATACAATGGCAGATAATATTACAGGATTCAATTCAGACTTTGTAAGGATGAGTGGGTCACAGAGGCTGTTCGATTCACAGCTTTGCATTTGGTGATTCATTCCATGTTAATACTTACATTTCATACGTTTTCTATATTAATATCCAAATCAGTGAGCAAGGAAATAAGCTTTAGTCTCCAAGTAAAAAAATTGAAATGCCTTGTAATTTTTTTCTTTCTGAAAAGGAAATGTAATAGTTTGGGGGCTCGGTTTTCTCCTATTCATTTTTTTGCTATAACCATCTTTTAGGTTTTAAAATTTATAATAGGAAATGATACAAGTGTCTAAGTATAGTAAGTAAGACTTGACTAGAAAATCACTTCTGTCGGGGTGACTGCTTGGCTAGGAAGCTGAGTAGGGGCAGGTAGTTCCCTGAGAATAGAATGAACGGCCCTGGGTCACAGAATAAATCTTGGTCAGATAGGAGAAGTGATTCTTCTCCTCAGTACCGTGATGGGACTACGGCACCATGCATGGCTTCCTGTGTGTGTCTAGAATGCCGCCCAGCCAAGTATAAAGCATGGCGCTAGAAAGTGAGCATGAATGGTGTTGGCATGAGTAGTTAAATGAGAGGGACAGAGAAAAAATGATATAGAGAGCAGGAGTGGCTAGGGGACAGTGGGATGGGTAGGTGAGACGGGAAAATTTTGGACAAAAAAAATTATTTTTGTTCCCTAACTTATTTTATGGCATTTGTTTGGTGATTGCCAGTGCTAAACAAGTTACTATAAAATCGATACATTGTCTTGTAAATTTCTACCATTCTTTTAGAAAGTAATATGACCATAAAGTTTAAAAACCAGTAAAGTATCCATTCTGTTTGATTTAGTAATTCTATTTCTGGAACTTTTCCTTAAAATCATAAAAATGAGAAGGGACAAATATAATGCATGATGACATCCATGCAGCAAGTCTTCAGAAAGTTAATGAAAAATGTATATTATGAAAAAACCGTGCATGGTTTTCATTTTTTTTCTTTTGCACCAAAATAAACTCGTACTTTAATTTCATTTTTTTTCACTAACTTTCTGAGTTACCCACATATTTGGTAAAGCAAAACAGTGGGAGGATCTAAATGTTCCCAAATTAGAGATTCAGGAGATATAGCCACTTAAGGGACTATAACACAACTTTTAGAAAATAAAGTCATAAAGACTATAAGCCAGTTGGGAAAATGTCTGTCATATGAGCCAATAAAATAAGATACTAACTTGCATGTACCTTATTATGATAATTATAATAAAAAATCATCTCTGCTTATATAGCAAAACTGGAAAAGAACATGAATAAAATAAAACTGTGTTGTAGTTCATGGGATTAGAGATATTTTTGTTTGATTTATATATTCAGTGTTCTTATATTATCCTGATAGGGTTGGTGTGATTAAAAATAATTAAAAAGAGTTGTTGACAGAGCTGAGCAGTCGGGCAGTCACACAGGATTTCAGTTTTTCCGGGTCTGCCTGCATGACAGTTCAGCATAACAGGATGCACTGAGGCCGAAATCAGAGCGAAAAGTAAAGAGAACAAGTCACTCACTAAACTCCACTGCATCAATGGGATGAAGGGCTTGAAGCTTATCCAGTGTTAGAGGCCCTCTTGAAAACAAAAACTGAGAAGAGAGAATTAGGCTCAGCGCCTCAGAGGGGCCCATGCTAGTAGAGGCCATGACATTCAAGGTTCTTGAACTGCAAGGTAAATATGCAGGTTAGCCCAGGCCTGGAGGAAATTTTTGCCGTGTCTAGTCTTTAGTTTCATTTTCTTGACACTATTTCAAAAGAGGTAAGTGAAAAAAAAATTGTTTTGAGAGAAAGCATAAATAAGAGAGAAGCACACTGCCTTGCTGTACTAGAGAGGATGCTGTATCTCAGCTGAGGGGTCGTGTGCAGACCTCAGATGTCACTGTTTTCTGTTCATCCTCTCACCAGCAGGTGCTTGTGAAAGTCTTTTGAGGCTAGGGTTGCTGGCTTCACTCCGTCTTCCTTTTCTCCAACTGGCCAACACTAGAGTACTGGGGAAGAGGCCATCACCTTCAGGATCTTTGATGGTTGAAAGTGGCTTCTCTTGTACCCGGTGGCCCTGACTTACTGAGAAAAAGGCTGCCTGCAGAGGATCTAGAACTCAGCACAAAGCAATCCACATCAGTGCATAGCTATTGTCGGGGAGGAGGAGAAGAATGTAGATCTGAGGACAATAGGTAAATAGACTAGACCAGGTAAGAATATGCCACAAACTGAGGGGTTGCATTAATTCAGTCCTCTGCCTTCTTTTCTTTGTACCCCTCAAAAAATCAGAGTTTGAGGGATCTGAATGCTGGTACAGCCATAAAACACAATGCTCTGTGAGGCTGATCTACATGGGAAGATTCCAGGTTCCTTCCCCATCTAGAAACCTCCCTCAGTGTGCCTCGCGGACATGTGCCAATAATCAAGAGGCTGACTGACGCTAGGGGTGATTGCAGTGTCAATGCCCTGTTGGGAGTGTCTGTCTGTCTCTCACACTCATGAAAGAAATAGGTAAATAAGTAAGTAAATACTTAAAAAAAAAAAAGAAAGAAAGAAAGCCAGCTGGTGGTGTGGTAAAGGTGGCTGGATCCCATGTGGTTGTGATATGGTTCTAGTCCCAGATCTGACAGCTTGAAAAACACTCCAGATGCATGTGCAGGCATGCCCAAAACCGTGAGTGGAGAATGGAGAAGAATGGCTATCTCCACTGGGAGATGCTTTCTCTCTTCCCCTTTCTCTAACTCTGTTTCTCCCTAGCAGGTGCACATGCCTTAGCAAACTTAGAAAAAAAAAATTAAAACAAGAACCAAAGATCCACGGTACAAGAACTGAATGAAAACTTGAAAATTTATCTTTATGTCAAGTGTCTATTTCTGCTTTATTACAAAACTTAAAATTGCTTCAATATTCACAGTTTTTGTTTGTTTGTTTGTTTGTTTTGAACAGTTTTTGCTATAGGGCGCGTGCACTTACCAGAAAGACAGAGAGAGGGAGAGAGACAGAAAGTGAGAAATCACTCCCCACAGGGAATGATCATGCCACTATCCCTTCTCCTCCATTCTCCTCTGGAGATCTTGGGCACACATGCACACGTGCCTCATGTGAGTTAAGCCACTGCGTCCAGGACTTGAACCGTGGTCGACTACATGGGAGTCCAGTGACTTAGCCATTATGCCAACTACTAGTCTCCAATATTCAGTTTTTGATTATCTATACTTCTTTCTCCCATCCCCCAAATTTTGCATGTATTTGAAGGTGAAGTGGCCTACAATTTTATCCTCTTTTCCTTTTTCCATTAGTTCTGTTTTTTTTTTTTTTTAATATTTAAAAAAATGTATTTATGGAAACCAGCAGTTAGCTTAATGGCTATGTCGCTGGACTCCCACGTAGTCGACCGCAGTTCACGTTCCGGACCCGGTGGCTTAAAACTCACGCCAGGCGCATGTGCGTGCGTGCCCAAGATCCTGAGAGGAGAATGGAGGAGAAGGGATTATTGCGGTGTGACCATCCCCCATGGGGGGTGATTTCTTGCTTTCTGTCTCTATGTCTCTCTCTGTCTGGCAGGCGCACGTGCCGTATAGCAAAAATCTCCAAAAAAAATTTTTTTTATTTATTACTGTAATTATTACTAATTTGCTACAGGCTATGAGCATTCAGAGAGAGGCTGAGAGTGAAAGAAAGAGAGAGAGGGAAATTGAGAAAGCAAGCCGCCAGGTTTGGGATTTGAACCATGGTTGGCTATGTGGGAGTTCAATGCCTTAACCACCATGACACCTGCTGGCCCCTGGTTCTCTTTTTCTTTTACAAAAATTGTTTTAAGAATTCTATCTTTGTTTTGTTTGAGGGGATCAACAATAGTCTATAATAATGTACATGAAAAACTGACAGGCTCCTTTTCTCAGCTCTATCCAGAGCCTGAATCTCTCTGACAAAAAAAGCTAATAACCAAGACCTTACCAATTCAGCGTACTTCTTGAATAAAAAATCGAGCTTTTCTTCAGGTGTTTGCAACTTGTTCAGATTTTGCATTAGCAGGTTGGCTTCTTTGCCTTTAAAAAATGTAGAAAATAATAAATAAATAAGTGTTGAATGTACAGCTAAGCAATAGGGCCTTATTACCAACCTTGGCCAAGCCATTAATCTATCTGAACATTAGATACAATTTTGCTTTTCTGTAAAAAGGGATGACATCTACCCTACAGAAGAAGCAAGGTTAAGCTAAGTTTGTGAAAATGTATGGTTAGGTTCTTGGTTGACTCTCAATAAATGTTGCTATAGCAGTAACCCCCAATTTTCATTCCAAGAATCTATGTTTGCTACTTTCCACCCTATATTCTTAATAGCCAAAAGATTTTATGCATAAAAAATGGACTTTATAGAAGAATGAATCATTCATTTTTCTACTTTAATTAGTAAGAAAGAAGCAAAACAGCCAACCAAAAATTTTGACTAGTGTGAAATGGCTGGTATTGATATATGGAGTTGTTAAAATTCAGTCAAAACAGAAGCTTTAGAGTTTGTTCTATCCATCCTTTTCCTGAGGGTTTTCTTTTAGTACCTGTTTCTCCATCTTTTGGGGAAGTAATTCTTTCTGTGTATAAACCCATTCCATGAGGTTTGATTGGGAGTAACTCTGATTAAATCTCTTACCAAACCAGAATATAATCACCATAAGTGAAAAATGAAGCCAAGGCATGGAGGGAAGGCCATTTAAATATATATTCTGGACACAGCAATCTTGGGTCTCCCTTTCCCCCACTCAGCATTAATCTCTGTTGACAGAGATTCTATTCTTACTTGGAGTTTATGCTACATTTTAAAACTCATCTGTTCCTTATTGTTTAACAGGAGCCTCTGATTCTTTTCTTTTCCTGTTATTCTTCTTTTGTGTTTTTCAGTTCAATGGACTCCATTTGCCTTTCTCTGGTGCTGGGAAATTTTGGCTTCCAGTGATCTTTGGGCTGAATGTTGGAGGGAGCACTGTGATAGGAGGTCTGCATTGACCACTGATTGTATCTTTTCAAATGGTTCAATCCAGGTAGAGCATTTGTCCCACCTTCATGTATCTGTGATGGTCACCCTGTCTAATGTGAGTAGGGAGGTCAGGGCAGGCATTAGAGCCTATGTCTCCTGATATAAACCTACCTAAGAATACAAACAGCTTTGACAACATTTTCCTCAAGAACAGATAATTTTTGTTTGCTAGGATGTTTCCTTTCATCTGGAGCAACAGATATATCATGGAATTAGGGTTTAATTATAGTGCATGAGACATGTTTGTACTAAAAAAATACTTATTATTTATTCATATTTTTAATTTTTAAAGTTATTTAATTTTATTTATTCATTCATTTACTTTAACTAGAAACACACACACATACACACACAGAGAGAGAGGAAAGTGAGAGAGCAAGCCACCAGTTCCAGGACTTGAACTGTGTGGTTAGCCATGTGGGAGTATCCAGCGCCTTAGACACCATGCCATCTGCTAGCCCTCCCATATTTTTAATTTTTACTGGAAAGCCGATAGATAGATAGATAGATAGATAGACAGATAGATAGATAGATAGATAGATAGGGTCTTGACATATCATGATCTTCCTACCTCAGCTCACATCTGGGATTATTGGCTACACCACCCCACCCAGCTCTTTTCCAGAGAGGATCTCAATATGTCACCTGGGCCAGCCTCTAGCTCATGATCCTCCAACTTCAGTCTCCTGAGTCTCTGGGATTACAAACACACACCAACTGTACCAGGTCTTTTGATTGTACTGAGAATTGAACCTAGGCCTCCATGTGGCATCTCACAGAGAGTACCTCCACAGTTAGACCAAGGGCATTCTGTAGTTTTATTTGCTAAGTCTGGCAGACCTACGTGGAATGAAAGAATTTTATGTCTAGAAGAATTTCAAAGAGCATCCAGCCTAAATGGTCGATTTTGCAGCCTAAGTTCTATCATTAGTGCTGGTAGAGTCAAGGATTGACTCCAAAGTTAGTCTACTTGCTGTAAATCACTCCATTCCCATGTGGAATTTTGAAGTCACTGAAACTAGACAAATATAAAACAACTTTTTTGTTGTTGTGGGGAAAAGAAATTACCTCATTCCCAACAGTTAGTTCTGCCTATATTTAGTCAGTTTACATTAGAGACATAACCTAAGACCGGGCAGGAGGTGGATGTGAATGGGGCCCTTCCTAGCTCTGCAATTATGGCCTATGGGATAGTGTGCTCCCCCCTACCCCTCACCTCCTGGCCCACCAGGCATGTGCTCTAAGTTATTCTGCTGGCCACAGGAATGGATTTGTGTCAGTCAGGTCATCCCTCACCCTGGTCACCTGTCTAGGTACTCACTTTCAGATTACTATTCCTCTCAGTTACAGTGTCACCTGTTAAGATGAGCTGTACAGCTGATCAGTTTTAGCCCAGAAGCCAGTATTGTTTGCACCATACACGTGCTCAGTATATGCCAATAATGATAGAGTAAAGCAAAGACAGGTCTTCCTCTCACTTGTGACATGTACTCTGGGACACCTCTCAGTGTGAGGACCAACATATACAACCAGGACGTGTGTTGTTGGAGGAGAGGAACTGAATGAGTCCAATGGTTCATTCTTTCTTCCCACATGATGTACCTTCTCTCTTTAGATTTTGCTTTCTGTAACTGAGAAACTTTTTTTTTTCTTTTAAATCTTCACATTCACTGAGGGCTCCTTCTGCTCTAATTAATATTCTGTAACTTTGTAGATAACTTTAACACTCAGAGGCATTAACATACCTAAAAATGATCTTTCCCCTTAACAAAAAAAATAAAGAAATCGGATACAGGCATGCACAGAATTCATGAATTTGTGACATCTGAGATGGTGGAATTTTTAAATGACTTTTTTTTTTAATTGCCAGGAGTGCATGTGCACTTACCAGAGAGAGGCAGAGAAGGGGGGTTAAGAGAGAGAGAGAGAGAGACATGGAGAGCACCTGCCAATGGAACATGGCCATGCTGCTGTCCCTTCTCCTCCATTTCTTCATCTTGTCAGAATTTGGGGAATGTACACACATGTATCCAACATGTTCTTCAAGCCACCAAGACTGGGATTCATACTGTGGTCAGCCCAGTGGGATCCAGCTCCCTTAACTACTAGGCTACGAACTTATGAAGACTTTAGTTTTTAAGCTTCCACAGGTTTATTTTTTTTTGGCTTAGGGAGCTGTACAGGATAATGGTGGAAGAAGGGAATAGAAAGAGACTTATCCATCTTCTTTTTTTTAAAAGAATTATTTTATTTATTCATTCATTTATTTTTAATTTGACTAAGAGCAACAGAGAGGGGGAGTGAAAGTGAGACAAGCAAGCAAGCCACCAGGTCCAGGAATTGAACCGTGGTCACCCATGTGGGAATGTCTAGCACTTTAACTACCATGCCACCTGCTGGCCCCTAAGACTTGTTCATCTTCTAAGAAATGCTAGAATTAACATCGGGGCATCTCATGACAGTGTCAGGCACGAGCCTATTCAGGCACCTTTTATAATGGGGGATCAGTTGTCTTTTCCTGGATTTGTCATTCCTAAGCAAGCTTCATTTCTTTCCCATTAAAACTGCAAAAGGCCTGTGGTGTGCATATGGCTGCCACACTGCGCAGTGTTTAGCGGGAAGCTACATGGAAGCAGAACCACCTGTACAGTAAGAGCAGGTGTCACATGTGGCTGTGGTCACTGGCACAGTTGTAGACTCAAGGGGTGTTGGACTATGAAGAAAATGTTACCAGTCTTAAATTAAGACAACTAACCCAGCTGTAGAAATGTGAACTAGGATTTTTCTTAAACTTGCAGCATAGTAATGATTGTTAGTGACAACTCATGTAGATTTATTGTCTTCAAAAGTATGTTTTTTCTTTTCCAAAATTATGTTTTAGACCTTTGGGGATAAACTTTGGTTTTGACTACATACTTTTGTGCTTCTCCACCCTCTTCACAATTTCCATGTGTTGTGGCAGAAGCTTAAAGCAGACAAAGATTGCGACTATCTTCTTTCAAATGTTAGACCCAGATTCATATTTAAGTGTTAATTCTGTTTTTCTTCTAATATAATCTTTTAAAAAGAAGTGGGATACAAATAATCCCTAAGCATCTATAGATATCTCTTAAGGGAAATAAGAGTCACGTATGTAGAAGATAGGGAGGATAGTATAGTTAAATTCACATTTGACTAATGCTAGGAGACCTGTGTTCCAGAACTGGCATTGCCACCAACTGGTTGGGTAACTTTATTACAGACTCAAACTCTCTGACCTCCATTTTCCTGTCTATAAAATCAGGGGATCGGCAAAATAGATTCTTATTTCAGCCTTTAAGATTTGGTGATCTGGCAACTGAAATAACTTTTAACTTTCTTTACCTTTATTTAGATAATAGCAAAAATAAAGGCAACATTCTTTATATTTTATATTCATTATCCTAGAATGTTTTGGTCTCATTTTCAAATTTGTGAAGATTATCTTACCCCTCACTGTTATTTTTTATAGTTATAGTTTTGTTCATTTTACTTGGTTTTAATGTCTCTATCAGTTTTGAAACTACTACCTGTCTGTGTTTTCTCATCACATTGTTTTCCATTTGGATGACATTTTATATCTCATATATTTCAGTGACCTTGATATCTAGATGCTCTTATGCTTACAATGAGGTTATGCTCCAGTAAACCCATCTTAAGTTGAAAATATTTTAAGTTGACAATGCATTTAATCCACCCAATCTACCGAATATCATAGCTTAGCCTAGCCTACCTTAAATATGCTCAGAACACCTGCATTAGCCTAAAGTTGGGCAAAATCATCTAACCTAAAGACTCTTTTATAGTCATGTGTTGAATATGTCATGTAATTTCCTGAATAGTGAAGATGAAAAACAGGATGATGGAATGACTACTTGAAATATCTACTGAATGTACATCACTTTCCTATCATCGTAAAGTCAAAAAATCCTAAATTGAACCATTATAGTTCAGGGCCTGTTTGTATTTATATTTGGAACTTTGATCAGTCATTTAG